TTTTGTATTTCATTTTGACATGACTTTGATCTAAATGGAATTTACTTTGGGTGTGAAATAGCACTTCAACTATTTTTTTCCCCTAATTAATTTTTTACTTTCTGGGTGCTTGTCTAGGCTTTTAGTTTTGAAAATACCCGTATAAAATCACCAAATGGAACCACATCAAGAGGGCTCACCTCGAATGGATGTTTTCTGTTGCAGTGACCATGAGGAGCATTCGATATTTCATGAGATTTCTACTTCAGCCTCGAAGAGTGTCTGATCATCAAATAGCTGGCACTTTTGTTTTCATTCCTCCTCATTCCAAAGCAATGGCTTGTTTTCAAGAGGCTGACACAGTCACGCACTCTGACAAGTCCCGGAAGAGAAACCTGTCCTTTGAGTGGAAGGCCCCTGCTCAACCTGGGGGGAACCTCACATTCCTGTAAGAGCCAGGGCAGTGCTGCTTCCTGGTAATGGAGCCTTACACTCTGAAGAGAAGGAGCTTCTCCACCCCCTTCCTGCATGCTTCAGCCCCTACCTCCAGCCACCTCATGACAAAGACAGAGTCACAAGGACTGCCCCAACTAGACAGTCTATAAAGAGGGTAACCAAAAAAGAAGTTGCCCCCAGTCCCCTCTTTGTCATTATCCACAGTTCAGGGGTACATGATTTCCCCTCCTCTCTGGGCACAGATGCATCTTGACCAACCTCTCCAGGAAATTCTGACCAGAGGAAAAAGAAGGACCATGGGAGAGTAGGGAAAACTGAGAAAGACAGAGGCTGAGGCAGACAGAAAAGTAGACACTTTCTTGGGCCCAGCGAGAGCCCCTGAGGTCTCTTTGCCTTGGCTTGTGGTCTATCAGAGGGCCGATGACTTAACCAACTGAGCCACCCAGGAACCCCTAAATTAATCACATTTTTATAACTGCCTTCTGAATATTTAAACTAGGAAAAATGATTCTAGCTGATAATCCCTACCTCAGTGAAATTGGGGGAGGATAAATGAGATAATGTTTGTGAAAGGGATTTTTACTAAAGAAAGCCATTAAGTACTCAAAATACCAGTTAGAGTACCAACAATTTATCTCTAATTTTCAATGGAATCTACAATTACAACAGAGCTGTACAATTGTACAACAGAATTATGAAATTTTCAATTAACAGAGTAATTCAATTAACAATATACCAGCAATGGCTAATAATAAAGTTGAAGATGGAACCTTTTGAGACTGAAGAGTTCAAGAAGATACCTTTTAATCAAAATGAGGTTTTCTAATGACTGTATTTATTTAGGAGGGGAATTTAGACATATCCTTCCCTGTTTTAATTATTTGCCACGGTTGAGTTTTGGTTTCTGAGGAGAGTGGAGTCACCCCAAGGGCAATATGATCATCTCTTCAGCTTTCTGTTCATGTAGACTTTTGTTTTTCTTCAGGTGTTATTTAAGGGAAACCAAACCCTCGCATCATTTTGCTTTCTTTTTCCACAGTTTGTCAGTTGTCCAGTCATATTTCATTTACTGGGAGAGGATCGAATCATCTGTTGTGTCTCAACAGACACACCGCAGAGCCCATGTTGATGGCGGCGAGCAGCCCGGCTCACCGATGCCAACCTCTGGCTGGAGGCAGGAGGGAACCACCCCAGGTACAGCTTGCTGTGGGACTCAAGAGCCTGGTTGGCATTATTATGGGAGGGAGAGGGAGAAGCAGGCTTCCCGCGGAGCAGGGAGCCCCATGCAGGACTCGATACCAGGACCCCAGGATCATGACCTGAGCCGAAGGCGGGCGCCTAGCCAACTGAGCCACCCAGGAGCCCCTAAATTAATCACATTTTTATAACTGCCTTCTGAATACTTACACTGGGAAAAATGTTATTTTCCCTTAGAAGTTCCCTTAGAAGCCAGTTCTAGTTCCTGCAACACAAGCACTAAACACCTACTTTGGCCAGCTGCAGCAGCTCACGGCCAAGGGCAGGAGGGGATGCTTGCCATTGCTGTTTGTCTGCTTCAACCTCACAAATTATGGGGGGGGCCCTGTGGTGGAGAGTTGGATTCTGTCACAAATCCAAACAAAAGCAACCCCCCCCCTCCCACACTTACCAATCATCACAACGCCTCAGCAGGGTTCTTCAGACCCCTGGAGCTCCACACGGAGCACAAGAAAGAGATGATCTTTTCTTCTTTGTATATAAAAACTCGTCCAGCTTTCATTGTTACTTTCCATGGTAGGTAGATGGCTCTTTGCAGCCTGGGTTGGAGAAAGAAATCAGGAATGAGAGGCGGTTTTGATGGCAATGGAGCTTTTCCTGGTTCACTACATAACCTGAGACTCCTTTGGTCCGTGAACTTCTGCAACAAAACATAAGAGAACACAGTGAGAATACAGCTACAGAATACAGTGGTCACCTGAAAATTCCTGGGGATATGGAACTCATTTCCATTATTGATCTCTAGTTAAGTGCTCTGAACAAATGCACTCATAGAGGCCACCTGCACAGAAGCTCCCATCTTTAATCCTTTCAATTCCACTTTCCTTGACTCTGTGCTTTGCTCTTGGCCAACGTGCTAATGCCCGACTTGGCTCAGTCTAGCAGACCCAGGCACAGAGCTTACCCTGGGCCACTCTCCCTACTCTGCCCATGCCCTGAACTGTCTTCTGCCCACTGCCCAGCACCACTCCCCCAACCTTCCCACCAAGATACTCCTAAAAGCAGAGTCAAGACCTCAGGGTCTGACAGTGTGGCCTGGAGAAGACCCTGCAAACCCATGGTGTTTCAAGTCTCATGTTTTATTTTCTTAATCATGCAAATGCTGCATTTTAATCCCAAGCATGTTTGTTTTAATATGAATATGACTAAAAGTGGGGTGTCAGGAAGTGACATCATGTTGTCCCTGCAGTCTGTCTTGGGACCCTGCTGGGAACCTTGTCCCCCACGGGGTGACAGACTCTCGTCTGGGCAGCTCCTGGGTAAACTCCTCATGACGCTGCTGTACGCATTCCTGCCCTCCTGGCCCAGCCTGTTTTCCTGCCCATTCCTCTGCACAAACCCCAGGGTTTCTCAAACAAAAAGGGAGTGTGTGTGTACATATGCAGTGTGATGGGGGGGTGGGGGAGGGAGGGGAGGACAGGATGTCATCTAGCAAAGTGAAATAGATTTCTTAAGCGTAAGAAGACTGCAGTGGGCAAATTATGAATTATGAATTTTCACATTAGGCAGATAGTATATTGTACTTCTCAAACTTATTTCCCAATAGACACGTTGGGGTCTGTGCAACCCCATTAGGCATGATCTCCATGTTTTGCCTTCTGACACTTCCTCAAAGTGGGCTGTTCCTCCTGATGATCTATTTATCTTTCAAGGGGTGGTTCCAATATCTCCTTTGTGAGACTTTCCCCCATGCTTCTTGGGAGGCAAATGTAATTGCCTTCTCAGTTCTGGATTTAAAGCTCTCATCACACTGTCATCTGTAAGGTTGGGCATCTAAGAGTCTCTCCTTCTATATTTTGAGTTCAGGAACAACAAACGGCCACTACGCAGCCCTTCTGCATCCCCAGCATTCACAGAAATGCCCATCATACAACGAGCCTGTGGGGAATGTCCGAATGCATTTTGAGTTCGGGCGGGAGTTTAAGACTGTCGAGCTTTTGCCACATTCTGTGTGTACGTTAGGCTTCTTTGTTTTTCACTTCAATCTCAATGTTTCTGAGTGACAAAGGCTTTGGAGAAGAGTGGCACTAAAAGAAAAAGAAATGCATTCCAACCCAGTTAGAGCCCTGGTCAGAGAAACCTCCACTAATGTGTTTCTTTGCAAACACCATCATTGTCATCCTAAAGTTATCATGGTAAACCCTCATTGCATGTTCACCTGTGCCAGCCACTGTGCTCTGTGCTTCTACATCAGTGATTTTATTTCACCCTTCAGCAGCTCTAGGCTGTAGGAACCATTATTGGTCCCATTTTGGAAAAGAAGAAACTGATGCTCTGGGAGGACTGTAGAGTTAGCTGAATGGAGAGTTGAACCCAAACAGTCATCTGACTCCAAAACTGGTGCTTGCTTATTTGCTGCACTGTTTCTAATTTCTATTTCTAAAGTTCTGGGCTGTCATGTTGGCCAGTCACGGATGGAAAATGAGATGGTGGAGGGCAGTGGAGGGCAGTGATCTTGACTCTGCCCATGGCAGAGGCTCAAGTCATTATCATCACCAGGGAGACTTTTACTGTTAATAATATGGCAGGAAAGATCTAGGACTTTCAAAAATCTTTGATTTGTGGGATTCTGATTTCATTTTGTTTTGTTTTGTTTTTCTAGCTAGAAGCAGTTTTTGGCAGAGGTAAGAAAAAAAACATAGTGGTCACAGGGATTTCTAAACTCCCCTGAGTGGTGACTGTTAAGAATGCACAAGTCCAGAGGGTCAGAGACTTACTATTTACAAAGGTGTTAGAAATCGAGTCCTTTTCCACTTGGTCAGGGGCTTATCTTACTGGGCAGATCATCTTTTTGTTGATACTTTTGAGTAACCCAAACTTAATGGTTTGTCCTAAAGGCACGTTAAAGTCTCTAATATTTACCCCATTACCATAGTTGTTTGTGCTAATCAATACAAGGAAAATGCTCTCACTCTCTTTTGTGGTGTCTTTGGATCTCCGTTTAGCTCCCAGTCCCCCCAGCGCTCTTCCCCAGCAGCGTGCGAACATCTTTGCTGTTGCCCCAACTGGAGCTGCAGAGGAGAACAGCTTAGATTCCTTTTCCTGCAAGTTTTTGGGTGACAGAGTTTTCTGCGGATGCAGAGACTCTGTTCCAATCATCTTCACACATGGCTACTGCGGTCAGCAATGGCCAGCAACTCAGAGGGGACAGCAACCCAATCCTAGAACCATCCCTGGATATCCGTGGGCTGGAGAGATTCATGGCTCTCAGGAGATTCTTCCCAGAGGGCATTGCTTCCAGCCCTAGAACCCACCTCAGGTAATGGGTCAGGGGTAGACCATTCAGTATGGTGGTGGGATAAGCCAAACCCTGGGGTGCTGAGGGAATCTAAACTTCTTGGCATCTAACAGCAAATGATCTCACCATATTTATTCTTAAGTGCACAAGAAACCCTGATTGTAGAAGGGCTACTGGCCAAAAGGGCTGGGTATGAAAATCACCTGGGGAAACTGTACTTTCTTGGATAGGGTGAGATCTCTGATATGCTGATATAAATAAAATCAGATATAAATATATGTTTTATAGAGGGGCGCCTGGGTGGCTCAGTCATTAAGCATCTGCCTTCGGCTTAGGTCGCGATCTCAGGGTCCTGAGATCAAGCCCCGCATCGGGCTCTCTGCTCAGCGGAGAGCCTGCTTCTCCCTCTCCTACTCCCCCTGCTTGTGTTCCCTCTCTCGCTGTGTCTCTCTGTCAAATAAATAAAAATCTTAAAAAAAAAATGTTTTATAGAAGAGATGTGTAAGTTTATAATATATAAATACATATTTTATATAAAATAAATAAAAGCATTCAGTGAGGCTTTGTTGCTATCCTCACTTGCCTCTTCCCCACCCTCTCTCCCTTTTCCCTTCAGCTCCTAACTCCAAACCCCAAACTCCTTTCCAAGGAAATCTGCTTTTGTCAGTATACACAGCAATGGTAGGAAATGTTGCTTTTTGATCTGTATACTTAGTCTTCTCTTCGCCCTTCTATCCTTCTCTTTAGGACTCAGGATGATCCAAACTTTGATTCATTGGAAACTTGCCTATCCTCAGATAGGCATGAACAGGTAAGAACCCTGGTTGTACGTGGGTGATGGGGTTGGTATTTTGATCCCAATGTGGGAAGTTCCAGGCTGGGGAAGCGGAGCTATTAGACTAGTAACCAAAATTTGAGAGCAGGAGGCAAGGGTATAATATACACACAGCATCTTTTTAGCAATCAATACCAGCCTTTCTGTTATACACAGTGTCTCTGAAGTTATTGACAATTGTAGAAATTGATAGTTTTAGTGATTTGTTTTCCCACTTAGCCTCAGTCAATAATTCCTGTCTCCTCACCTCTCTACCCCTCTTTATAACATTGGCCTCAAAACACCATGTATGGTTCCAGAGCTTAGATCAATGGGCAATATAAAATATACATGCCCACTGATTTACAATTCCTTTGAAGTCTTAATAGGAACACAAAGTAAAACATGGTATAATATTCTTACTCAAATTTATTGGAACCTACAGTGAGATTAAATGCCCTCTTGCATGGGCCCTAGCATAAAAAGACACCCAAAGCTCTCTGCCCTTGGAGATGATAATCATGAATCTTGGTCTGGAAGCCTCTTAAAGGACCTTAGGTTTATTCTTGTAACTGGCCTCCATGCTCTCTTTGTGGGGTTTCCATTAGCCACCTCATCCCCATCAATCACAAGGGCATATCTATCTACTTGGGCATTTTACTCTGAGCAGGAGCAGGAGCAGGCACAAGGCCGGGTTTTCAGCTGCTGCCTGGGATTCTTTAAGAAGCACAGGTTAAGTGTAAAGTTCAGTGGTAGCTTGGAAGAAGACCAGGTCCTTTGACTTTTTTTCCCCCCTTTGCTTTTCTAGGACAAAATGGAGTCCTCTAATAGGACCATGATGAGGCCTCCTCTGTCCACTGCCTATCTTACCTATCCTCGGCACCTCTGGTCGTCTGAAGCACTCACTGGGAATGGGGCTGGGGCAGCCACCCCAACCCCTGTCTTCCACACCTCTGCCACTTCCAGGTCACCTGCTGCTGGCGGGCAGTCAGAAGCATCGAGGCCTTCTGCCAGCTTCTCACCTCAGTCAAAGCGCAAGGAGGGCTGAGAGGAACATGGAGGGGGCGGAGTGGGATACCCCAGGAAGACCAACCCAAGGCCTGAGGTTGGGCAACAGGGAGCCAGTGCCCCTTCAGGGATCCAGCTCAGGGCTCCCCAGCTGGGAATCCTGCTTTGTCTTTCCGCCACCTTGGGCATGGCCCTGGCTGCCTGCCTCCACTGTCTACACACCCAGTATTGCCACAAGCGGACAGAAGTGTCCTTCAGTGAGCCTGCTGGGGAGGCTGTTGCCAGGAGCGATGGTGGTGAGACAGTCCGTGTCAGGAAGATTGGGGAGAACAGTTTTGTTTTGGTTGAAGCAGAATACAACTGGACCCCTTCCTCTGTGGGTAACGAGAAAACAGTCCTCTGAGCAGACCGTCGTCCTAGGCCTCCGAGTAGCCCTCCGCAGACCCTGCAGTTTCTCAGCCAGAACAGAGCTAATGAGAATAGCTGATGAGGACAGGGACTCGCGGTGGCCCCCATCAGTGAGCAGTTAGTTGAGGCAGCTGCGAAAGGACAGTTTTATCAACAGAGGGAGTTCTTCCCAACCTTTGTTGTCTTAACATCTGTAATTTAGCTGCTTTTTTTTTCTATTCACAATTAGGCGTTCTGTTTGAAGAGTTAAACTCAACACAATGAATATTGTATAACCTGCTCATTAACTAGACTCCTGTGGCCACCGAGCTTCCTCTGTTGCCTTAAGGAACCTGCAGAAATAGAAATTCTGTCCCTCCTCAGTATGTCAGCCTTATCCTTTGAAAAAAAGTAATGTTGGGGCTGTGTCTCTTATAAGAAACAGAACTGCAGCCCTCACTTTACCTCTCCAAACCACCCCAGAAGAAGTTTCATTTTCAAAACTAGCCTTCCAAACTGGCTCTGCTTCAGTTGATTAGGTGAGTGCAAGGGTATTCAGTCTTCTTGGAAACTCAGAAGCCTGGCAAATCTGCCTCAGAAATTGATCTGAAGTGAGGAGAGTTTTAGAGAGCTTGATTGAACACATCTGTGGGGAACCGTGTGCGTGGCACATAAACACCAGAGTGGGGTAAGCAAGCCTCTTCATCAGGTGCAAATGGATCTGAGACCTCCCATCCATTTACACTTGATGGGAAGCTTATGTAACCTAACAGCCAGCAAACATATTGCCTTTTGCCAAAGGTCAGGCTGGAAAAAATGATGATACCACACAGTTTGAAGAAGAGCCTCTACTCATCTTTTTAGGGAGAAAAGGAAGACAGCATCATGGACAAAGACCATCTTTCTGCTCTTGTGATTTATGAAGATCACTTTGATTTAGCCAAGTGTCCCATAGACGTTATGTAGGGCCAAGGCAACAGGTTTGAATATAGCTTTTGAATATGCTGACCTAATATGACACATAGAAATTAGCTGCCTTTTCAGAGGTAAACCTGTTACAGAGTCACAAAACATTTTAATGTGGAAATGAAAAACCACTATAAATTTGGAAAGGGTGTTTATTTATCAAGCACCTAAATCATACAGGTACTGTGCTAAGAACTTTGCATACATTTTCACATTTAACTCTCACAATAACTTAATGAAGAATAAGTTCAGTAACTTGCCCAAGAGAGGGGGGCATTCATGACATCTCAATTCAACAACAAAAGCATTTTTTAAAAAACTGGGCATATGGGAAAGAGATCCCACTGTTTTTTCCAGCCTCTTTTAGCTCATAGGGCACTAATTCCAAGATTGTTTCCTCCTGGATTCTGGGCTAGGCAGATCTGTCCCCTGGCTTCAGTCAAGAGCCTCATTAGGAACATGGAGACCTAGCTAATTGTGTTCACACATGAAAGTGTTCTTGGAATACTGTGGAAATAAATGAATGTACTCTACTCCTCCGGTGGCCAGAGATATCCCTTCTACATATCCCCCCTGCCCCAAGGATATCCTCCCCGAGATGTAGATGAGGAACCCCGCCAGTGGAGAGCTCTCCTCTGGCCATCATCCTCTGGCCAGCAATAAGAAATTGTTTCACAATTGTCTGTGAAATAAACTATGCCCAACTCAGTTTGTCATCTTTCACAGTTTGGGGCTGCCTGGGCTCAGCTGGGCAGTTCTTCTGCTCTATGTGCTGTCCAATGGGCTGGAACATCCAAGCTGACTTGCTCACGTGGCTGGCAGTTGGTGCTGGCTGCTGGCTGGGGCTCACCCAGGGCTGTCGATGAGTGTGGGCAGCAATTTGTTCCTTCTCTTCATGGCTTCTTATAGCACCATTCCCAGAGGGGTTTTCCAAGCAGACAAAACCAGAAGCTGGGGGTGCTCTTCAGGCCTAGCCTTGTAAGTAACATGGTTTCACTTCTGCCACTTTTCAGTGGTTACAGGAAGTCATGGGCCAGCCCTCTGTCTTCAAAGGGAAGGGCAATGAATTTTGCTTTTGGATGGGAGAAGTGGCAAAGGATTTGAAGCTATCTTTAATTCACCACCTCACCTCTCTGGTTAGACTGCCGGCCTGCCGAGGGGCTTCTGTGAGCGTAGAAGGAGGGGGTGTTCATCTCCAGGAGGAGCCCTGAGTCACCTTCCCTACAAGGCATCAAAGGAGGTGAGGGAAATCTCAGGGTCAGGTGCTCCCTCTTCTCCGGCTCCCCGGGCAAAATAGCGAAGTGTGGCAGAAGAGTCAGCCAGACCTCTGAGTCTCCGCTTCCTCATCAGAGAAAAACAGAATTCTTTACCTCTTTCGGTTGTCAGGCAGAGTAAATGCACGTTCAACCTTTAGCCAGCTATGACAAACTACTTAATGTCACTTTGCAGCTGCAACACTATCTTTAAATCTAGTCCATTTAGACTCTGTGACCACCGAAAACGTTATTTCCTTTTCAGGACACCTTCTCCCCCGTGGCCCCGCTTCCCCACCCAGCGAATGGAGGTGGTCCCGGCGCAAGTTGTCATCGTGGCCACTGGCTACAATTCCTGCTGGGGGTCAGACGTTTTGCTGAGACTTTCCGAGGAAACTCTTCTTTGGCAGGGGCAGTGGAGTCCATAGACCTGCAGTCATGAGACATAAAACCCCTCTGTTACTGTGAACTTGAAGGTCCTCTAAGCCTGGCTTCAGAGAAGCCCCAGAGGGGAGCCAGTATGAAGTGTTAACCTGAAGGCATTTACTAAAGCACAAAGCCATTACAAGTTAAAAAAAAAAAAAAAAAAAAAAAAGGCAAAGGACTCAAACGCAACATCTTAACATAGCTTTTTTGTTTTGTAGGAACAGCTATGGGTTTTTTGGCCAGCCACTTCTTTGAAAGGGGGTTTGGGCTAAATACACATTTAAGGGAAAAGAACAGAACAATTGCTGAGAAGTCTTTATATTTTCAAAACTCTTTATATTTCAAACAAATCAATTGTGTTAATAACCACAGATCGAGAGTAGGGATGAGCCTCAACCTTTATACATTGAGAGGCTCTTTCTGATTTTTCTACTTGATTTCTCCCCTTGGGTACAACACTTTTGCTAACTCACAACTTAATGCTCGACTATAGCCTGGCTGAGCTATCCCACTGTTGAGGCTGTCTGGTTTTAATTTGTTGTGACAATGTTTGTTTCCTTAAAAAAAAAACTCTAACAACAATGACAAAAAAAAATGGGTCAACAAACCAGTAAATATTTAAACAAGTGTCATGTTTTATTTGAAAAGTTGTCTGGAGATGGCTGGCAATTTATGAATAAATTACAGATATACCCTCTCCCATTCTTGGACTTCGGGCATTTATCAGTGATCCCAGCTCTTCTGGAAGACAGTCTCTGTGATTTGATTTCATTCCACCCCAACCTATCCCCTTCTTCTAAAAGTGGTGTGTGGCAAGGAACTTCTTTTACTCAAAATGAAATGAATTTGCATTCCTTGTTTTATCAAACTTGAGAGCATCTTCAGAAGAACTTTGCTCCATCTGCAGGTGGAGGGCCTTAGGGGGTTGCAAAACCAGGAACAGTCGCCTCTGGTTTAGAATATCAGGAGGGCCTTTATGATAAAAGGATGTCTGAAGTTTCGTTCGTGATTCTGTTCTTTACATGCAGAAAGGAAATGTGAACATTTTGAGACCCCGTTCCTTGACAGTTGGGTTGGAGCTGCCAGGACCACTGAGGTCTGGAGTCGGATGTTTGCTTTGTGCCTTTTTGCTTTGAAAACATAAATCCGTTTAGGCCGCAGGGTCTCTTGAGTTGTCGAGTGGCTTTCCATCGCTCTCAGAGTGAAGTGTGAACATCTGATTGACTGACAGGGAGACCCGCCCCCGCCCCGCCCCCGCCCCGCCCCCGCCCCGCCCACCTTCTGCCTGGCTCCCCGCCTCCGCGGCGCCGTCCTGCGCGCTCCCTGAACGCGGTACCGCTAGGTTCCCAGCTCCCTTGCTCTGGCTGTTCTTGTTGTGGAACCCCGTCCCCCCAGACATCCACAAGCCTTCGGAGCTTTGTTCCAGTGTTGCCTTATCAGAGAGGCTCTCCCGGCCATTGCAATCTCTTCTCACTCTCTATGCCCCTCCCGGCTTTAGAATATTTATGGTACTTATCACCTCCTGCGTCTTAGGTATTTATTTGTGTGTTTATTTTCTGCCTCCACCAGACTAGGATGTTTTATAAGGGCAGAGACTTTGTTTTTCTCATTGCTATTCCCCCGGCACCTGGAGTTGTTCTTCATACAAAGTAAGTAATCAATAAATGTTTGCTAAATGAGTGAATGAAAAGTTAAAGATTCGTGTTACTCTCCCCAGGCCTTGGTCTGGGCTGAAGTTGAATATGGAGCACCTTGGGCAGGCCTAGGGCGCATGGGCATCAGGAGATGCAGGTTGCTGTCTAGAGGTGAGTGAGAACTCTGTGGGCCACGGTCTCCAGGGCAGGGAATGTCCTGTGTCTCAGATCCAAGACTCAGGAAGTTCTTGGCAGGGAGAAGCTGAGAATGGACTTAACCCTCCCAATCTGAGCTGGGGCAGGAGGAAACCTGAGTAGAGTCTTTCTTTTTCTTTCTTTTTTTTTTTTTTTTTAAAGATTTTATTTATTTATTTGAGAGAGAGAGAGAGCATGAGGGGGGGAGGGTCAGAGGGAGAAGCAGACTCCTTGCTGAGCAAGGAGCCCGATGCGGGACTCGATCCTGGGACTCCAGGATCATGACCTGAGCCGAAGGCAGTCGCTTAACCAACTGAGCCACCCAGGCGCCCCGAGTAGAGTCTTTCTAAAAGGCTCACCTGTGGGCACACTTGGCTCAGTTTAGATAGTCTGGCACACGGATTCTCAGCCTCCACACGCTCCACATTTTGGGCTGGATAATCCTTTGTTGTGGGGGTTGCCGTGTGCTTTGTGGGATGGTTAGCAGCATCCTGGGCTTCTAGCCACTAGATGAGAGTAGCTCCCTCCTCCCCAGTTGTGGCAACCAGAAGTGTCCCCAGACATTGTCCAATGTCCCCTGGAGGCCCAAACCGCCTCCACTTGGGGACTGCTGGTGTAGTAACTAAGAGTTGCAACTGCAGGCCCAAGGATGAAGCAGCCTTTTCCTAAATCATTTCCACATTCAGCGATGGAGTGGGCAGTATCGAGATAGAGAAACATAGGGTTCAAAAATGAGGAATGGTTTTAAAGGTCATCTGACTTAGTGGTTTTGAACTTTTAACTTTGCTTAATTACATAGAACAATTAAAGCTGGATACTCTCGTTAATGTTGTATCTTCCCTTCTTCTTTTCCTCCCCCTTTCTCGCTTTCCCCTCACCTTGAGGCACTGCCCCAGAAATTTAACCAATAAGCATGGCTAAAACTCGTTAAAAACACCTCCTTTTTATAGGTGAAGAGAAGAACAAGGCCGCTGAGAGCTCACAGTGAAACAACAAATTAGTCTAGGGCCGTCCTCGGACTCCTTCCTTCCATCCTGACTTCTAACCCACTTTTCTCTCCAACACGCTTGGCAGATCATTTGTTTTCTTGGAGCGTGCTGGGTGCTGTAAATATTTCAATGGACCCAGAGAGAGCCTGGAATCAAGCAGAAAAATGCCTGGAATGATTAATCTGCATCTGCCATTAGAACCAGGAGGACGATGGGACGTGGGGACTGGTCACTTATGGTGGGTTGGGCCAAGGTCTGACCTGCTGGGCTGGGACAAGGCCCCAGCCCAGGCTAGGGGGAGAAGACAGACAAAGGGAAAAGGAACTCATGGGCCCACATGGTGAAGGTGCGGCTGTCATTGTCCCACTACCCAGTTACAGCTAAGAGCCACCACTAGAAGATGTTTCTCTGGTTTACAGCCACCATCTTGAACTTACTGCCCTCTTTCCTCTGGTCTCTGCTTTTCCTTCCTTCAAATGGCACGTGCGGAGGATCTTCATCCATCAGCTGATGATGGACGGCTTCTGCAAAGTGTTTTGTTACTTTATGGAGGAAAGAGGCTGCCTGGAGATACATTCCATTGGATATTAAAGAATGTATTTTCCTGATTTATAGTCAGGCTAGGCAAGGTTGTGTGAGAGGCAAGGAACCAATGGGAATATCCATTTTGACTAATGATTATTATATCTAAAGTGAAGTTTTCCTGTCAACTGATAGGCTGGAAAAATAGACTACAGCTTGCTAGGTTAGCACCACGGGTCACAGATGTTGCCTCTGCATTTTCAGATTATATTATCCATTACAGCCAGTACCTTCTCATTTAGAAACCTAATTTGTTGTTCTCTCAGACAAAAAAAAAAAAAAAAAAGAAAAAAGAAAAGAAAAGAAAGAAAAGAAAAGAAAAGAAAAAAAAGGCTGACATTTCACATGCAAGCCAAAGATTAGAATCACTGCACAGGACCGCGTATGGAAGTACATTAGGATGCGGTGTCCCTGAATCAAGGACACAAGGCAGCCCGGTGCTGAGAGAGATGTAGTAGGCAGTGACTTCTGATCTTTATTATGCAAATGTGCGGCCTCGAGAGCCAGGCTGTTTAACCTCATCAGGGGAAATGTCACTGATCATTTCAAGCTCCAAATGTAGCACAAGCATTAGTACTATTATGTTATTATTATTATTATTTGCAGGGCATTATGTAAGCCCGAGCCCTCTGATTAAGCTCAGCTCCTACTCGGCCAGACCCTCTGGGGTTGCAAATCAACTCCTCCGGGTATTAAAAAACAAACAGACAAGCAAACCTGTTTTCCTTTCTCTTTAATGTTTGTGGAGGAGGCACTTTCCAGACCTGGTGGCCACCCGGCATGGGTGGAGATGGAGGAGGATCACAAGGTCCAATTTCCAGCCCCACGTGCTTGATGACAGGCCGCCCCCTCTCTGCTGCAGGTCGCACGCTCCCGTGGCAGAGGTGTGGAGATGAAGCTTAAGCGGAGCATGGCACTGGGGCAGGAGAAGGGATCGCTCAGGGGGTGGGAATGGTGAGGAGGACTGGAGAGAGAGAGAGAGAGAGAGAGAGAGAGACGCTGCATGAGATTAGAGAGGGAGGGACTGAGGAGGAGAGGCTCTTATCTCCAGCTCAGGCATCACTGCTACCTTCCAGAACCATCAGGAACACTGAAGGCAACCGGATCTAAGAGGTGGACACAAAAAGAGCTTGGGACCAAGCAAAGAAACGGAAGTCCAGGAGAAGAGGAAAAACCAGGGGCAGTGATGAGTGGCCCAGGGTGACAGAAGGCAGAGGCAAGACACAGGTTGCCCATCTCCAACAGTCAGGTTTCAGGACCTGAGCTGGTAGTCTCGGCTTCCAGAAGAAAAGACACCTGATGCAGGAAGCTAAGAGACACAGGCCGTAGTGAAATTCTGGAGGAAACAAAAAGCAAGTTGTGCGTTTCCCCTTTTCCTCCCACAGCCTGATGCGAGGGGAAAGGTCCAACTTGAATAAGTAAATATTAATAAGTAACTTCAATAAGTAATAAGGAGGGAGATTGGCTCATTGCATAATTGGAAAGACTAGAAGCTTCTCCGTAGACCTTTAGAGTTCCTCTCATCTAGCCCCAAATCTTTTAGCTATGAATACTGACATCAGGATCCCAAGCCAATTAAATCTGACTTCTTGGGAGTGGGGCCGACGTCCATAGTTATTAAAGCTTTCCAGGTGATTTGAATATGCTGCCACTGCTGAGAACTGCTGTTTTAGGTTCTGAAGAATATAAACTCCATAAAGGCAGGGATTCTTGTGTATTTGTTTTCTGCTATATCCCCTAGCATCTAGCACAGTGCCTGGCACATAGCAGAACTTGAATATAGATTCAGTGCATGAACAGGTTATGGGTGAAACAAGGCATTTCTGCAAGAGAAACGAGTCTGTCTGTATGAGGCCATTCAAGGCATCTGTGGAGGGAGTTACCTCCCAGGCCTCCAAGAACCATGCTCCCAGGCTCATGTTTGTGCCTCATTGCTCCAGTGCGAGCAGACATGCAGCACGCTCCCAGTTCTTCCTGAGTGTAAAGCAGAAGTACCCATGGGACCAGCAATTATTTTTGTAGAATAGCCCCGGGGAGGCAGCATGGTCCATGTTGTGCTAGGTCCATGGGCCGTGTTTCCTGAAGGCTTCCCCTGGATCCTGGAGGAAAGCCTTTTGTCGTATCTCCAGCCCTTTCTGGGAATGGTCGCCACTGACTCGGAAGATGAGAGGTTGAACATTAAGGAGTAAAAAGGGAGGGCGCCCAAGCTGGAGACTTAATTGAAGCCTGAATTAATTCAGATTAATTAATTCAGATCACTTAGGTAAACATTGATTGAACACCCGCCACGTGGCAGAATCTGTATTAAAGGTGCAGGATACCGAGGGAGGAAAGGCATGGTCCCTGCCTCTATGGAGTGGCCAATGGCAGGGTGGTGATATCGTCCAATTTCCAAGCTGGGCCCTAGACCCAACACCAAGATGAAGGTTATTACACCCAGCCCCTGATCCCAATCCACCTCTTTCCCTTTCTCCCAATTTTCAGAATTCCTTTTTCAAAAAGAATCTGCTCTTAATGGAAGCTCCATACATAGACGGATCCAAGCACAGGTACTTTGGGGTGAAAGACGTCCAGGTCAATCATCTCTCCTTTGCTTGTCCCTCTGTCCTTCCTCCTCAAAATACTTCCTGTAAGTCCTTGGGGCTGAGAACTCGGCTGAACAGAACTGCTCTAAGAAACCTATTTCTCTAGATGGAGGAAGAGTCCTTCAGCCAGGTGCTGGGAGACAAGGGCAAAGGGCAGTGTTCTCTTAACCCACGTGGGACGGAGCAGTGTGCCCCCATGAAACCTTTGGGCTGAGAGAGACGTTGGGATCTCACGGTTCATCCCCATTTCCACCAAGCAACATGCTGTACGAAAGAAAAAAAAATATATTTGGGAGGTAGGAAGGGCCTTAGCCCAAACTTGACAGTGTGACTGATGAGCTCCACTTTGGAAGGTCCTTCATATCCCATAGCTCAGTCTCCACATCTCTAAAATGGGGCATGAATTACTTGGCAGATTTATTGTGAGTGATAGACCTTAGGGCTATTTTGAAATCCTGTTGTTTTAATCCTAGGAGATAATTACTTCGCCACGGGGCTCTGAGCCTTTTGAAGGTACAGGAAGCACTTTTCTTTATCTTTGTATCCTCGATCTCTGACTCGGTAAATAGCTGGCACACAATAGATGCTTAAATGTAAACTTCTCAGGGAGGCCTGCCCACACACTTCATCCGGGTGGGCATATGCCCTTATCTGTCCTTGCACTCGAACTATCAGCACACTGCCATCTGCGTGTAGCTGAGTGCGTTATTATCTTTCCCCGCCCACAGCCGAGGAACTGTCAGTGGTCACCTCTGGTGGCCTTTTCTTCCCTCCTGTTCCTGCCCGAGGTCTGGTCAGGGATGCGTTTCGCATCAGTGGAGGGCGATCTTTTCCCTGAGTCCGGAGACCTGTCCCTTGGGCTACGGGAGGAGAGGCACCGCAGGAAGGGAGGCTCAGGAGGAAGGTTGGGGTGTGGGCTGAGATCTGAGCTGGTTTGGTGGAGGAGCATCTCCCCGGC